TGCTGAAGTTAGGGATGGAATTACTTTGAAATGGATCAAAAATGATAGATGGATAAGAGATGAAAGGATATGTGGTAAATCAAATATAGCAAAATGCTAATTGTAAAATCTAGATGGTGGGCACATGGGTGTTTACTATAAAGTTTTTTCAGCTGTTCTGTGTATTTGAAAGTTTTAATAATATTGGGGGAGGGCTGGAGGTATAAAGTGTTTGCTAAAAGGCTTGTGTTGAATATTTTACCTCCCTGAACTGAGACTTTTGTTTTCTCTGTAGGAACTTTCCGCTGTACTTTTTGCCATACAGAGGTAGAGGAGGATGAATCAGCAATGCCCAAAAAAGATGCACGCACACTTTTGGCAAGGTTTAATGAACAAATTGAGCCCATTTATGCATTGCTTCGGGAGACAGAGGATGTGAACTTGGCCTATGAAATACTTGAGCCAGAACCCACAGAAATCCCAGCCCTGAAACAGAGGTGAGTATAGGCCCTGTGCCCTTTCTTAGAGCACTTTTAAACTTGCCCTTGTTTTAACTAATTTTACTTTGGAGGGTATGAGTAAGTAATTTATCGTGAGGCTAAGGAGTTTCTAAGCTCTGTTATACTTATTAACTTGTGCCTGTGATGAAATTTGGGTTGTTCTGAATGCAGAACAGTGTGGGCCTTAGGCAATAACCTCTAAATAGTCAGGTTTGACTTCAAGTACTTACTCTACTTGGGCCTGCAGCAACTAAGCCAATTGCTAGCTAATGCTAAATTAGTTGTGCCTCTTGGGGATTTAAATTTTTCTAGCCAACTTTTGAAGGCTGAAGTTGTTTAAGGAATTCAGCATTTTCGTTGTTTTTAAAGCATTTTATATTTCTTCCCTTTCTTAGTTTTAAATACAAATTCCTTGAAAATATAGTAGATGTTACCTATGGGTTAAAACTTCTGACAGTGCCTTCCTATTTTATTAATGGTCCCTAATGTTTGAATTGGAGAGATAGCCTTAGTTTTGCCATGCCTTAAACAGTGGTTTATACAGTAAAATCTCCATAGTTGACCACCTCCCCACATTGACCAGCTCCTTAAGTGGACCTAATTTTCGTAGACCGGACATGCACCATATGTACATATCAATACAGTAGGCTTAGTTCCTTATGTTGACCACCTCTCTATGTTGACCATTTATTATAGTCCTTTGGGTGGTCAGAGGTTATACTGTATATTCTTTTTTGAATAGTATAAATGAGAATTGGGGGTCAAGGAATGTGCTTCTGCTCTACCCTTTTACCTTTCCTTCCCAGTGTCAAGCTGAGTTTATACTCACCTGCTTCCTTCCACAGAGCTCAACAGTCCAATTGTACTTGTATAGTTTCTAGGAGCACTCTTAGTATTTCATTCCCTCTGGTACTGATGTTACAGAATAGCCAGTCATAAGCAAACTGAGTTTCTTTTGCAAGGTTAAAAGCAATCCAGTTCAGGAAGTTTTGTGTTTGTCCAAGTTATTATGAATTTTCTAATCTGGTACATGTGTGAGGCTGCCTTTGCCTGGGATAGCAGAAAATCCAACTCTAGATTGGATCTAGAATTCAATCTATAAGTAGCTGGAACAGTAAGAAAATGTGTCTTGCCAACACCAGAAGTCCTGAGGTAGTATAGTTCAGAATTGGTTAATTTCAAAGCTCAATTACATCTACAAGGACCTAGATTTTTTCCATCTTTATACTCTGCTGAACTCAGCCTGTTGGTTGTCCTTTTGGGACTATGAGAGGAGCTAGCCTAAGGTGAATGAAAATGTCCAGATGCAAAAGAGATCGTCCCTTCCTTGTGTCCTCTTTTGAAACTGAAGAAGGATAAAGGACGCCCTCTGGGAAAGCTCTCACTGGCTAAAATTGCTTTATATGCTTCTTTCTAAATCAGCATCTGGCAAAGGAATTGAGATCACTTGATTAGTACTTAGACTAATTAAGATTTACCTCCTTGGGCTTGGGAAAGTCCCAAAGTTCTTAAGAGCAATTAGGCATGGGATTTGAATAAAACCAATAAGCAAAAAGGAGCGGAGCCACAGTTGTTAGGGAACTAGTATCCACGTCACAGGTAGGCTCAAGTATTCATTAATGGCCTTTTGGTTTCTTATGAAGGGTTTTTTTTTTTTTTTTTTTTAGTATCTTTTTCTGTCCACTTAAATTTGATGAAATCTATGAGGGAAATTAATTTTACAAAAATACATAATTCAGATTAGGAGTTATTTCATGCTGAAGTATGATTCAACCCACTGTCTAGTTACTTTCTGTACAATATAATACTATCTGCATTATTCTTATATTTCCTCCTCTGCCTGTACTTATTTGTCCTGTTAACAAGATGCTTCCTCACTACAGAGGCATTTGGTCACCACCACCACTGGCATCCTATGTCTGATGTCCCCACCTACCACAGTCCAGCCCCCATTCTAGGATCTTTATTTAGATACCATGCATGGCCGAGGCAAGTCTTAGTGGTACAGCGACATCAGCTTGCTGTATCAAGTCACCTTCCCCATCAGGAATGGTGGTGACTCCAGGGATCAAGAAAAATCAGAAAGTAAAGAAAATTAATTGATTGGGAAAAGGATACCCCATAGCTCAGTCACTGAGTAAGAAGGGGATAAAGGGAGGCAGGAAAGAAAGACAGAATGGGGTCCCTAGAGCTGCCAGCCAGAACAAAGTACAATTGTTTCCATGTGGTCAGAGGAAAAATCATCAGACCTAGGTTACCCTGGCTAAGATGGCCTTACAAAGCATTTGGCAAGCTCCACTGCCTGAATGTAACATCCTGCAAGTGGTATTAATTTGGCCTTTCTATACTATAAGAACATAAAGTTTTATAATAGTCAAACCTGCCACAAAGATTTAATCCGCCTCAGTACAGAAAAGAATCAGGGGCAGAGTGCTGGGATAATAAAAAAAAAGACTAAGTGATATCAAAGCTTGTGCCAGAGGCTACCTCTACAGAACTGTTAGTAAGCCCAACCCAAGAGTGGATAGACAGTGCTAGGCACCCACTGGTGATAAATAAAATCTTCCTATTTTTCAGAAATAGAAATCCTGTCCAATAACCTTACCTTTTCCATTGTCTCTTAACACTCAGCTTGAAGATCTTTAGAAATTTAGTTTTGAAATAATATTCCTCTATCACATCTGAGTAAGAGTTACATCTTTTAAACGTTCTAAAATTTCTGATATATTAAAAGATTCAAACATGAATTGCCATTTTTGTCATTTTCAATTAAAATCTGTACATTCTCTCTGTAGAAGAAATTAAAATATTAGGAGTGAACCCAGATGTCTCTCATCTAGATTTTCTTTGGTATATATAAACTTAGTTTTTGAAATGTAGTTTTCAGTAACCCGTACGTGTTTCCTAAAGGGGCCCATCCATAACACCACATGGAGATGAAGTTGTGAATGTGATGTGAAAGCACTTCTACTCATCATAGTGTAGAGCATTCAAAATTCAACCTAACAGTATATTAGAATTGTATAGATCTGGTTCATTTTTTAATTATTATTTTGTTTTATTTTTTTGAAGTACAGTTTTAGGGAAGAATGTGAGAATGCTACAATGCAAGCAAGCATTTATCAAGTTTTTGTTAAAGTGAAGTTCTCCATATGAAGATTTTATATGAAGAATTTAAGTAGTAGTGAAGTTTAAAATCTTAAAAATTTAAATACTTGCATAGCAATAATATTATACTCCTCAGATTATTTGTGCTTTTGCTCCTTCCTGTCTCTGTTCTTCTTACACTTCTTCACTCCAGATATCCTCACAGTTTCTGTGGGTCACAAATCTAGGCACAGCTTAACTGGGTTTTCATCAGGCCGTAACCATGGTGTTAGCCAGGCTGTATTACCATTAGAGGTTCAGCTGGGAGGAGGCCTCTTCCAAGCTCCCTGGGTTGTCTGTAGAGCACCTGGTGGCCTGCTTCTTCAGACCCAGCAGGTGGGGGTGTGTTTGGCCTCAGGTAAGGCCTCATCTATCTTAAGCGTTTTTTAACTGATTGAGGTAAAAAGATTCAAACATTCAGTTGCCCATAGTGGACAATTTTTATGATTGTGGAGGCTGAGAATTTCCATAATCTGCCGTCAAACTGGAGACCCAGGGAGACTGGTGATGTAGTTGTAGACTGCGTCTGAAGTTCTAAGAACCAGGAATACCAGTGGTGTAATTTCCTGTCCAAGGACCTTGATTTTCTTTAGTCTCACGTTGGCTCATGATTTAGATTTGTCTGTATCTGTGATGAAGGTAGAGATAAAATCTGTAGAGTCAACTCTCAGTGATTAAAAATACTTCCTTTTAAAAATTGTTCCTCCCCCCAAAAAAAATTGTTACAAATTTTAAAATTCGTTTGACTTGTGCTTAAATATCTCTTTAATTCCAAATTAAAATTGGAATAAAAAGCCATGCTTGACTTTCTATAACAGAAAACTGAAAACAAAAGCCTTCTAAAAAAAATAGTCTTATGTTAATGTTTATTTATTTAATGTCCTATTCTTCTCTTTAATTTTCTTATTTTTCTGTACTCAAAGTACTTCTCATACCTTCATGAGACAGTTTTCAGAGTTAATGCTAATAATAGAGAAGAGAGGAAAACTGCGCGTTCAGGATTATATATAAAGAGAAACAGAGTAGCCTCAGAAAGAGTGAGTCACTTAAGAATCTGGGTGAAAGAAAGACAGGTAAGGATGGAGTTGGCCAGATCAGAGTGAGAGTAACTTGCCTTTTCTGTCTCTCCCAGGTAGGGTTAGCTAACTGAGGGAAACAGACTTTGGGGCAGACGGGTATGCAGAGAAGGCTCAGCACAGCAAGATAAGGATGGTGGCTGAGGATAGAAGGGACCGGAAAGGAGTTAGGGAGACAAAGGAATGGGTGAGGGAGAAAAGGGCTCATAATGTAGAGTAAGCACAGAAACATACCCAAACAGATTAAGAGATATGAGGGGGAAAGTACATGCTGGGGGATGCCAAAATTCAAAAAGCCACCCTACACAAAGTAAGCAGTCACATTCTAGTGAAGGCAGCCACAAAGCCTTTTAGAAAAAAACATGGGAACAGGGAGAGTATGACTAGGGACAGATACGGTTAAGTTGAGACAAACAGGAAGTATTACAAAAAATAACATCAGATGAATGCGGAAAGAAATAGAAGGTGGGAAAGAAACCCATTATTTGTAACTGCAGCATAAGATTTTAAAATATAGCAAGACAAATGGATGAATTGGACATGTTTAGAGAGAGATGCCTCAAAGGCATAGATTTAGAGTGGAGAGCAGATGAGACAAAAGAAGTGACTAAGACATGGAACAGATGGAACAAGCACCAGGAAGGAAGGGCTTGGGTACAGTCCTGGGTACAGAGCTAGAATAAGGAAGAGGCTGCAAATGCAGCAGCTGGATGGCATGTGTAAAATGACCGGATCATTGTGGGTTGGACAACTGGAAAGAGCGAATTTTTTATTGCAAAAGTAGCACTTGCCCTATAGATATCCAGAAGATGGGGGTGAGGGGAGAAGGTAGGAAGGATGAGCTAAGCCGAAGTCTGTCTCCAGAGGATGGTCAGAGTACAACGTTGTCAGGGAGAGATGTCATGTGCCAAAGTAGTGGTTAGATTCAGAATGAGACAGGGCTCCACACAGGAGACAGGATACATGGGAAAGAAGGGGAGAAAAATGGAGAAGTTAAGGAAAAATAAAGGACCAAGAGAGTCTTCAGTGGCTGCTGAAGGGAACACAGCAAAAGGTGTAGAGTGAGCAGGTGGTTCAACAAACGTGAAGATAGTTATGTGGTAAAACAAACAGCTGTGTGAACAGAGAGGCAGGGTCATGCATAGACGTTGAAGCAGAAAGCAGCATCAGTAGCCGGCACAAGACAAGGTGTGAGCCTCAAACACAGAATTGGGTACAGTCAGAAGAATTTGGAGCAGGTTGAGTGTGAAATAAGCAGGTAACACAGAACAGAAGAAAGACTGAAAACTTGGCCTGACTCATAGAGGTGGGGGAACATAAGTGACTAAACAGGCTAAGGGGAGAGAAGTTCATGGGTAGTAGAAGTAAAAAGTAAAACAAGATAGTCTGAGAAACAGATCGTGGTGAAGCGGTTGGGGATGTAGCATAGATGTGGAGATAGAAAGATATAATTCGATAGGAAAGAGGCTAGCCCACGCAGGAGGGGTATGACTTACTC